GATAGATAGATAGATAGATAGATAGATAGATAGATAGATAGATAGATTAGAAGTGTGCTGGCTCTCCAGAGGCTGCTAAACTACAGGTCCCAGCAACCTTCACCATTGCCCAGAACTATAGTTGAAGCACATTCTGAGGTCCAATGTAATTTTGACCCATTCTACAACCACAGAGAAGGTCCATATTAAATCCAGATCTGAAGTTTCCATGGCAGGTAAGAGAATATCTTATCAATGACGCTACTACAACACATTTGATCCTAACCCTGAATCGAGACACTATCAAGAATCAACTAACATGCAGTTTTACTATGGTTCCACACGGTCGGGAATTCACACCACAAAATACAGACCGTCCTCAGTGTCTGTAATCGAGCCCAGAAGTTGTGGCAGTCCTTAAGTCGAGTCACCATATGACTGACTGCACTCAGTTTCACGAGCCTTTTTTTTTTGCAGTTCAACGGACGCTGCCATTGTTAAAGGGATGCTGCAATTATTAAGGCACCCCGTGGTCATTTCTAGCAGGGAACTGAAAGCAAATGCCAGTTTGGGGCAAAAATTGTCACCAAAATGGCGGTGCGAATGGCCATAAATGTGGCCCAGTTGCAATCATGTGACGGTAAGGGATGTTCTTAAAAATTTCCACTGATTTCAGGGTGGCAAAAGGGCCTCTCTCGGAGAGGCATCTGGTGGGCATTATTTTGTTGACCTCTCTCTTAATGGGTTGCAAGAGCTTTCGAGTGGCTGTCGAATTGTTAGGATTCTGCCGATGCTCTGCCGGCCTTCAGCCTCTCACTCGAAAATGCATTTGCCTCCCTTCAAATCGGCCAGGAGCCTCTCGGAGGTCTCCCAGTAGGCCCCTGATCTGATCTGGCGTGACAAATCCACCTGTTCTCTTGTCTGACTTGCCAGTTGCTGTAGCAACCCCGGAGCTGGGCACTCGCAGACGCTGTGACCTCTTTCTTCCACTGTGGAGGATTGCAAATGGGGGCGGGGGGGAGGGTTGGGAGGCTAAGCCTTTGCAAGGCTGCAAGAAGCAAACCAGAGTGGGGGTAGGCGGGCAGGATGACCACAAGCATTGCAAAGGGGGAATACGAGCACCGAACACCTCCAACTATTCTCTTTCTTTCTTTCTTTCTTTCTTTCTTTCTTTCTTTCTTTCTCTGTCTTTTTCTTTCCTTTCTATCATCCATTTATCAATTATCCATCCATCTCATCCATCCTCTATGATCTATCATCTATTTATCATCTATCAATCATCTATCTATCATCTATCTATCTATCTATCTATCTATCTATCTATCATCTATCTACCTACCTACCTACCTACCTATCATCTATCTCTCTCTCTCTCTCTCTCTCTCTCTCTCTCTATCTATCTATCATCTATCTATCATCTATCATATCTATCAACCTCTCTATCATCTATCTTATCTCATCTCATCCATCTCTCTCTCTCTCTCATCCTTCCTCCTTCTATCATATCCATCTATCATCTATCTATATCATGTCATATCTATCTATCTATCTATCTATCTATCTATCTATCTATCTATC